ATTATTAACATCGAAATCACGAAAAGAACAACATCATGACCCATTCATTTTAAGACATCACAACTAATGAACAAAAATAGATAAATAAAAATAACCATCAATAAAGTTACTTTCATTCATTAAAGAGATATAACAACTAGCAAATTAATCATTTCAATTAAATTCATGAATGAAACAAAATATAAAAAGAACTTGTCATAAAATTACATCAAATTCCATAAATAAATAAATAGAAAGGTAAGGTAAAGTTGAATACCGCAAAATGTTAACCGAAGCTCGATTAGAACACCCACAACTTTTGTAGGTTATTTGTGATGGTATATGTGTTTGTGTTGATATGGAAAAAAAATGGGTAAGGAAGAAAAGATATGAATGTGTTGGTGAATTTTTTAAAAGGATAATCAAATAAAATGGGAAGGTTTTTCTTCTTTTTTTTTTCTCATGTAATGTGTTGTTGTTTTTTGTTTCTGTCCGTCCTCTTTTTCTTTTTTGCTGTTCCTGTATATGTAGGAGTGTATGTGTGTGTTGGGTATGTTGTAGTGTAGGTTGTGTTGTGTGTGTGTCGTGTGAGGGGAAGTGGGGGTTAGGGTGAAGTGGGGGTGAGGGTAATGGAGTGGAGTTGGGTAGTGGAAGATAGGTTTATTTTTTATTATAAATTAAATATATATATAAAAATTATAATAATGATAATATTAATAATAAAATAAATAAATATATTAATTAATTATTTTGCACTAATAAAATATAAGAAAAGTCAAATAGCTAGTCTAAAAATATAATTAAGAAATACTATCTTGTTTATTAAAATCTAAATTAAAAGAAAACATATATTTTTTGTAGTTTTCAGATCTTTTAAAATAAACTTACTAAAATACGATGAAAAAGTAAAATATTTAATGGAGACCTAGAAGAAATATTTAAGGAATAAAAATGGTGTAAAACCTTATGTTCGGTCAAAAATTATGTGTCTACAGTTTGCCCCTCTTTGATTGGAAACACGAAGAGTTTTCAGACAAAGAAGTAGATATCGTGACAAGTTTTGACCGAACTAGTATTTGAAGGAAAAATTTGTGCGACCGAGTCTTGGTTTTGGACATCCTACATATCCCGGGTTATAAGGGAATCAGGTCACGTGTAGTTCAAGGAGATGAGGTGATGAGTTGGAAGTTAAGTGAGGTTCCATCGAGGCTCCAGGTCGCGGTTCTTATCCTTACATAAAAAAAGAAAGCTAATAGTCAAAAGGAAAATAAAAGTTCAAGCTCCTATCTATGTAGCTTCTCTTGAGTCTTCACTTGAGTCCTGACTTTCGTATATCACCTTAATTTTTTTGGGTGAGTATCTTGATCTTGAATTGAATTCGATGCTTAACTTGCCACTTAGAGTGAGTTTTTGGCACTCTTCAAAATGACAATTTGAATATGTTCTTGAATGACTGTATGTTTTCTTGATCAGAAGCTGAATAGAAATAGTTGTCAGGAAGTCAGGCTTCTATATGCATTGAAGAAGCTGATTCTGGCTATCATGAGATTGATCAATCTGAAAATAGTTGAAACTTTGTTCCTGAATTTCAAATCCATGTTTCGATTGAAGAAACCTGAAAAACATCACAAACAAAAGAAATACACAAAAAAAATTTGCCCCAGTTTTCACTGGAAATTTTTTGTGAGTTATTAGCAGATAATTTTTTTTTTTTAAAAAAATCAAACTAGGAAGTGTTTATCCTAGGAGAAAGTAACCAAATCCTATTATGTAGGATGGTCCTACTAATCCCATTGTCCAGGAGGGTCCTGCTAATCTAAATTTCATTGTTTAGGAGGGTCATACTACACTAATCCTATTGTTTAGAAGGGTCCTGCTACTCTAATTCCCATTGTTTAGGAGGGTCCTGCTACTTTAATTCCCATTTTTTGGAGGGTCCTGCTACGCTAATTCCCATTGTTTAGGAGGGTCCTGCTACACTAATTCTCATTGTTTAGGAGGGTCCTGCTACTCTAATTCCCATTGTTTAGGAGGGTCCTTGCTATACTACGTCTCATTATTCATGAGGGTCCTTGCTATACTACGTCCCCTTATTCAGGAGGGTCATTGCTATACTACTTCCCATTGTTCAGGAGAGTCCTTGCTATACTACATCCCATTATTCAGGAGGGTCCTTGCTATACTACGTCCCATTGTTCAGGAGGGTCCTTGCTATACTACGTCCCATTGTTCAGGAGGGTCCTTGCTATACTACTTCCCATTGTTCAGGAGGGTCCTTGCTATACTACGTCCCATTATTCAGGAGGGTCCTTGCTATACTACTTCCCATTGTTCAGGAGGGTCCTTGCTATACTACGTCCCATTATTCAGGAGGGTCCTTGTTATACTACGTCCCATTGTTCAGGAGGGTCCTTGCTATACTACGTCCCATTGTTCAGGAGGGTCCTTGCTATACTACTTCCCATTGTTCAGGAAGGTCCTGCTAATCCCATTATGTAGGAGGGTCCTGCTAATCTAAATCCCAATATGTAGGAGGGTCATGCTAAACTAAATCTCATTATGTAGGAGGGTCCTGCTAATCCCATTATGTAGGAGGGTCCTGCTAATCCCATTATGTAGGAGGGTCCTGCTAAACTAAATCCCATTATGTATGAGGGTCCTGCTAATCCCATTATGTAGGAGGGTCCTGCTAAACTAAATCTCAGTACTTAGGAAGATCTCAATTAACAGAATTATCAAATAAAATCACCACAATATTTTATCCCTTTTTTTTTTTTAGTTTTTAAATGTCTTATATTAGGAAATGTTTATGCTAGGAGAAACAATGTAATAATTATTATTTTTTTCTTTTTCTTGCAATAATATTAACAAATTTGAGTCTTCAAGATATCTTTTACGTAAGAAATATTTCCCTGTTTTTGAAAAGAAACAAAAGAAAGTTTTTTTTTTTTTTTTTTTTTTTAATGGTGGTCGATTTGTGGCATTGGCTTTGAGGATAGTTGCTCTTGTTGTTGCCATGTTTGAAGCTAATTTTAGCTTGAAATTGACTGCTTTCGTCTGCTAGTCAGCTCACCTTGATAATCTCGAAAACATCTCTAGTTGTTCAGAACTTTCAACTTCAAATTTGTTATACTGTTTCCACCCTCCAACAATAATTGAACCTTGTATTCAAAAATTGTCAATTGCTGACAAGTTACTATGCATATCACTATTTCTTGAATTATGTCACGATTGATGGGTTAATCAAGCTTTGTTTTGTACGATTGAAGAGATGGTAGCAATTTTGAAATCATTTTCTGCTTGCTTAATAAAGACTATCTCAAGATTGAATTGAGCGAGACGTAAAATAAGAAGAAATAATATTTGATCCTTTTAAGAAGAGAAAAAAAAATTTTAAAAAAAATAAATAAAAATAAATGGATTCCATTGATAGTGGTGGTCAATTGTAATGATCATGACATGCTTTTTGGATTAAATGGTCTGGTCTGTCCAATCAATCTAAACTTTATCTTTGTCAAACTTTAAACTTTGAAGTCAGACTTCTATAATCCAACGTTTGCACTAGATTTATGACTAACACTTGACTGGTGGTGCCTTGAAAGGTTTTCACTAACAAGTCTTTTTTTTCTTATCTCTCACTCACTATCGTCTTACGGTGCCCTGAGGGTTTTCACCAATCAGACTCTCTCATTTTTTACTTTCTCTCGACTCAAATGATCTCCTATAGGGATTTGAGGATTTTCATCGATAAGATTCCCTCATTTTTCACTTCTTATGCGAGTGGCATAACATTTTTCCTTATATAATCAACACTGAAAGCTTGCTTGACTTGTCATTGTTAAAAATTGATCAGAAGGTCTTTTTTTGAATTGTAACGTGGCTTTTGGACAGGGTTAAAATGACATGATTGGCATGAAAGCTCAAAGATACTACGTAACAGGGTTAAGACTTACAACTTTTGAAATCGACTCTTTTTACAAAAACACAATAAAATAATAATAATAATAATTATTATTATTATTATTATTATTGCCCCAGTTTTGGTGATGAGGACTTTCTAGATTTTTTTTTTGTTTGGACCGAACCTCAAAATAAGGCTGCATATGTATCTTGTCAAAGCAAGAATCAGGTCGAACGTAGTTCAGAAAGTTTGTTTTTTGTTGTTATTCGATTTTATTTTTTTTCACTCCAATTTTTCTCTCTCTTTTTTTTTTTCTTTTCAACTCTTTTTTCACTTTTCTCTTTTCTTGACCCTTTTTTTTTTTAAACTGTATTTTGATTCCAACAGAGGGGTATGACAAAAAATAAAATTGAGGCTCAAAAGGGATAGCAAAGGATTACACGGTGTTTGGATAGTAGAATGAAATGCCTTCGTCATATCAATTATTAAAATATCAAATACAAGCAATTCCCTTTAAGATGTGAAGTGAAAATCATACAATATTTCTTTGCAACATATGTATAGATGAATATGTATATCATTTTGTTGCATTTTTGTCAGCTGAGAATCTCTATTTGAGTAATACCTTCTTGACAACAAATAACATGCCAAGTTGGATGAAATTTTTCCTTTTAACTATTTTTTGGATACTAAAGGAAGTATCAAAGTGTCTAAGTCTTTTTTTTTTTTTTTGACTCCTTTGATGTATTCATTACATGACTAGACATAATCTTAAGATCTGACCAAATTTTCTCGCATATCATGTCACAAAATTGAATTGAAAAGAGATGTATATGTGGAATGCCAAATAGAACGGATCAAAGTGACACAAAATAAAGATTATATTAAAGATTTAAAAAAATGACTTGGTGACAAGACAACAAACTAAATTTAGGTCACAACTCTATAATAACCCAAACTACGACAAGACTCAACAAACAAACGCATAAGAGAAATGATAGAAAAATTTGAGTTACTAAAAATAAAAATGATTGCATAGTAGAAATGATGACAAAATAAAATATCTATACACTCTTTTTAGAGAAAAGAAGAGTGTCTCTCAATCACCAAGCTGAACTTCTTAGCCACTGCTTTGCACGTTAGCCTTCGTAAAAGCTCTACCAATTTCAATTATCTTTTCTTCAAAATTGTCATATTCTTTGTCATCACATATCATCTCGATAAAGTGTACATCACTATGCACCGGTAGAGGATTCTTAGTAACATTTGGGGGGTCATCATTTTGAACCACAATCATCTTTGTTTCAATCATCTCTTCCACCTTTTTTTTAAAATTACGACAATCTTCAATATTGTGCCCTGGAGCATCAGAATGGTATGCACATCGTGCTGTAGGATTGAAACCATTTGTATGTGGATCCACATGATTTTGAGGAATCGGCTCTATTATCTTCAAATGTTTCAACTTGTTAAATAAACTTGTGTAAGATTCTCCAATTGGTGTGAAATTGTTTCTAGGCCTTTGACCTCCTTGAAATCCCTGTCTCGGACAAAGATTATAATGTGCTCGAAAATTTTGAGAAGAAGGGTGAACATTTTGATATGTTGGCGCTCGCCATTGAGGATAGTTTGGTGGGTATGCATATTGTTGTGCATTGTAAACCGCATATTGAGGTGGAATAACAGAATATTGTGTCTCTTGGATAGGGAGATAGTGATGGTATTGAGGTGGTGTTGATTGATAAGGTGGACTCCTTGGACCTTTTTGTGTGCCTGACACAACATTTGCTACATCTTCCTTCATTTTCTTTCCCCCAAAATTTTCTGGTCCATTTTTAATCACCTGTGTTGTAGCTTTCAAGGCAACTTGACTTACAATTTTTCCAGACTTGATGCCATTTTCCACCATTTCACCAATCTTAATAACTTCAGCAAATGTTTTTTCCAACAACGGAAGTAAATAATGAAAGTAATCCGGTTCTTGCGCTTGAAGGAAAACATCGATCATTTCATACTCTTTCATTGGCGGCTTAACCCTAGCAGCTTGCTCCCTCCACCTAATAGCATATTCACGAAAATTTTCAGTGGTCTTCTTCCTCATGTTGACAAGTGAAGTGTGATCTGGAACTATGTCAATATTATATTGAAATTGTTGAACAAAACATCGAGCCAAATCATCCCATATATGCCAGTAAGAAGTATCTTGGTCTATGAACCATTCTGACGCAATTCCCATCAAAGTTTCCCCAGAATAAACCATGAGCAATTCTTCTTTGCTTCCAGCCCCTCTCAATTGATTACAATATCTCTTTAAATGAGCTACAGGATCTCCATGTCCATCATATTTCTCGAACTTTGGAGTTTTAAATTCGATGGGCAGATGAACATGGGGAAACATGCACAAATCATTGAACGAGACACTTTTGTGACCTCCCAATCCTTGCATATCTCTCACACTCTGTTCCAAACTCTTCATTTTTTTAGCCATTTCTTCATGTTCCTCGTTCTCAACAACTTTTTCAGCTTCAACAGGGGAACTATACTGATGAGTGTGAGGGTAAGAGCCTGGAATTTTAAAAGTCAATTCAGAAGTCTAATCTCGATCATATTGAACTTTGGGTGGAGGATCATTGATGGATTTTGGCTCCATTATAGGTTGTTGAACGATATTAGTCGGCGCGGTTGGAATGAATAGTGGATTACTTGTCATAGGCGTATTCAAAGGGTGCACCGTAGAAGTTCCAGCTACATTGAATGCGGGACCGAATTCAGGTGGATAAATTGGATCACTTATCGATACTTGGACAGGGGGTGACATATTTGTATTTAGATAGTCACGGATTGAAGGCGGTGGAGCTTGTCCACTTATCCAAGCTTCGTACATCTCTGTCATTTGCTGTCTCAGTATCTTTATTTCTTCGGCTGACACTGTTTCTTGTGACATCATCTGGTTCTGGACCTCATCATTGTCCGACTCATTTCCGTTTTTGTGAGTCATTTTCTTTTTCCCTTTTGACCTTGTATTATAGGGATGGGATGCCAGCTTAACCACAAATCAACCACCTTAATTTAACTGTGCATAGATAATAACGCTTGTTAGGGTTATACCTTCTTCAATTTTAAGTTTTTTTTTTTTAAATGATTTAATAATGCATTGATCATATCCGATTTAGATTGCGTATGTAACACGCTTGCGAACATGATTAAGATCTTTGCATATTTTTTCAAAAACTCAATAACTAAGCTTTCTTTTTTAGAGTTTTGAGATTAAATTCTTTTGTTTTTTTTTTTAATTTTTGAATTATTAAAAGAAAATTAATAAAAACTTATTTTTGATAAAGATTAAAGCTTCTTGTTTTTCATTTTTTTTTTGAACTTTTGAAAAACGATTTTTTATTTTTTTATTTTTGAATAAAGATCACCGAACCCAAAGAGGGTTGCCTACATATCTCATTGAGGTGAGAATCAGGTGTGCGTAGTTCGTCCAGATTGGACAGTAAAAAAAACTTTTAAGATATAATTTTTTTTTTATTTTGACAAATGTAACTTTTCAAAGTATTATGAAAGTAAAATATTTTGAATTTTCTTTTTACACACTTTATGAAAAAAAATTCTAAATAAAATATTATTATTCTTTTCATCAAGTAATGCAAAATTTTTATTTTTAAGAAATGTATAATAACTTCTAAAAGAAGAAATATTTTCGTGTTTTCTCCTTCTTTTTAATTTTTTTTTTTTAAGATCAAAAGATAAAAAAATTTCATTGCATTAGTCATACTAAAATGCATCAACTTATAGAGACTTTCAAATAAATGCATTTTCATGTAGCACATAAAATAAGCTAAGTGGTCAAGTAAGAGAGGGATACTTATCCTGGACAGACCCAACTCTTATTTTGAGGCTCACTAAGTCACATGAAAATAATGCAAATAATCAGTCTTCTAGGGATAACCATGCCTATATTCTAGTTCTACTAGGTTCAAACTTGAATAAGATAGGTATCTAGACTGGCTCACCCGAGTAGACAACTCGAGCCAGGGAGGGGCAACTTATCGGTAGCAGCGCTATTTCGATTTCATTGCTGGTCCAACCCTGCCTAACTTGTGTGACTAAAATCCTTCACTGGGTGCCTAGACACTCCAGCTTTATCTCAAAAGAAGATGGGATGCATAACTGCATTCCCTACTATCCTATTTTTTAGAGACTCAGATGGTGCGCGAGAAGACACTTATTTACATTTCAACAATATCAAAGCGATAAATGAGCAACAAGTAGCACATTAGGTCATCAAAACAATATATCCAATGAAATAATATAATAAAATAAAGTAAAAGTCAAATATACAAAGCTCGAATTCTGGTTAGTCCCCAGCGTGAGTCGCCAGAGATGTCACACCCCTTTTTGCGCACAGCGGCGGGAAGAGTTTTTCCAATTTAAGTGACGGTATTGATTTAGAGATTATTTTATTTTTTCAAAGTCGCCACTTGGAATTGAGTTATGGTGTTCCAAGTCACCTTTTTCTTTTTAATCCCTAACCAAAAGGAAATGACTCTTTATTTTGGTCTGCGAACTAGAAATTCAGGTAAGGAATTCTGTTGACCAAGGGGAAGGTATTAGGCATCCCTCGAGTCCCGTGATTCTAGCACGGTCGCTTTTATTGACTTCTACTTACTTTTAAATTATTTTGGATATATTTTATATGCTACAGTTTCACTCATATCTTTATTGTTGAACTTTTATTTGGTCTCAACCTAGATGCATAACCGCATTCTTGGTCTTGACATTTAGAGACATAACTGTCTTCTTCGCATCTCATCTAATAATTGTCTATAAGTCTTACTTTAAATTCATAAAAATTATTTATCTTTTTGAACAAGGTGCGTCACCGCATCCTTGAGTTTCTTTTACTGTCTCAAAAAAGATGTGTAGCCACATTCTTAATTGAAACAAATATTTATTAATATGCCTAAAACTCATCTAGTCATTAGAAAACAAATATTCTTCCTTTATACATAAAACTAAATAAAGTAAAATAAATCTAAATGTTGAGGATACAATATATAATTCTGGCATCATTTCTATATCTTTTATTTTATATTTTAATATTTATATTTTTATTACTCTTAAAGTTAATATCAAAATTAAGTATACACTTTCAAATCAAATAAAACAATAAGGAATTGTTAAAAATAAATATAATTTTTGTTTGATAAAATTAAACAACAATAATTTATTTATTTATTTGTTTTTTATCCTAACTATACCTATTTTATCATTATTATCTGAATCAAGATAAGAACAATGTTATGACTCGTTTATTTTTAAGAGATCACAACTAACAATGGGAATTAGATAAATAAAAATAATTATCGATTAAATCTACCTTCATACATTAAATAGAGAGATATAACAACTAGCAAATTAATCATTTCAATTAAATTCATGAATGAAACAAAATATAAAAAGAACTTGTCATAAAATTACATCAAATTCCATAAATAAATAAATAGAAAGGTAAGGTAAAGTTGAATACCGCAAAATGTTAACCGAAGCTCGATTAGAACACCCACAACTTTTGTAGGTTATTTGTGATGGTATATGTGTTTGTGTTGATATGGAAAAAAAATGGGTAAGGAAGAAAAGATATGAATGTGTTGGTGAATTTTTTAAAAGGATAATCAAATAAAATGGGAAGGTTTTTCTTCTTTTTTTTTTCTCATGTAATGTGTTGTTGTTTTTTGTTTCTGTCCGTCCTCTTTTTCTTTTTTGCTGTTCCTGTATATGTAGGAGTGTATGTGTGTGTTGGGTATGTTGTAGTGTAGGTTGTGTTGTGTGTGTGTCGTGTGAGGGGAAGTGGGGGTTAGGGTGAAGTGGGGGTGAGGGTAATGGAGTGGAGTTGGGTAGTGGAAGATAGGTTTATTTTTTATTATAAATTAAATATATATATAAAATTATAATAATGATAATATTAATAATAAAATAAATAAATATATTAATTAATTATTTTGCACTAATAAAATATAAGAAAAGTCAAATAGCTAGTCTAAAAATATAATTAAGAAATACTATCTTGTTTATTAAAATCTAAATTAAAAGAAAACATATATTTTTTTGTAGTTTTCAGATCTTTTAAAATAAACTTACTAAAATACGATGAAAAAGTAAAATATTTAATGGAGACCTAGAAGAAATATTTAAGGAATAAAAATGGTGTAAAACCTTATGTTCGGTCAAAAATTATGTGTCTACAACTACGTACACCTATTAAAGAGGATGGACTAGGAATTCAAAAAACAAACGGGAAATTTTTTGCTCTACTGGCCAGCCTAAATTGGAGACTTCTTAACAACTCGGACCATCTATGGGCAAATGTTTTAAAAAACAAATATAATAAGAGGAGAAGAGGTAATATGATGAAGTACTATCCCTACGACTCATATATTTGAAAAAGTCTTAGCAAAACCTCTCCCTTATTCCATAAGGGACTATCATGAAATGTGGGAAATGGAAATAAAATTCAGATATGGGATGACAACTGGATTGAAGCCTCGAACTCTTTGCGCAAAGTAATCGAAGACCCTCTAAATAAAAACGACTCCAACGCATCAGTATCTCAACTCATCATTAATAATAACTGGGACTTATCAAAATTATCCTTCGAGATTCTTAGAACAATAAGTGAGGCAATCCAAGATACCTAGCTACATCCAAACCTCTCCCCGAAAAAGTGATAAGTACTATTAGAATAGAAGAAACGATGGAGACTTTAGCACCCAAGGGGCTTACGATATTTATCTGAAACTAGTAATCCTAGTATCAATAAGAACATCAATCACAACTGGGTATGGAAAACCTTAGCTATAAACAAAATAAAATTTTTTCTTTGGTTGTTTACTTTAGAAAAGCTCCCTACAACTTTAGCTTTGTATAATAGGAACATAATAAGATATAAAACTTGCTACTCTTGTACAAATGAAGAAGAAAATGTAACTCATATTTTTATGGAGTGTCCAGATGCAAAACATATATGGAATAAGTATGGCATTATCATCTCCGGACCAAACTTTCACAAAGAAATTAAAAAATTATGCTCATCAAGGCGGCAAACTTCGCTAGGAAACTCGCAGATAGTGCCCACGACTTTGCCTAGAGACAATAAGCTCTTTAAAAATCAAAACATTAGTAGACTGCCCAGTACTCTACAAAATATCTCATTCCAGGCAATAGAGTACTACCATTTAGTTCACTCCCAACCAAAGAAACTGCCTCGATTTATGACCCATGTAGCATGGCACCGACCGCCTGAAGGAATGCTTAAACTAAATATTGACGGTTCCTTTCATCAAAACTCGAAAATGGGTGGAACCGGTGGAGTTATAAGGGACCATCTAGGCAGTTGGATTGTAGGATTTTCTTGCAAAGTAAAAGTCGTTAATGCCCATCACGCGGAACTACTAGCTTTGCTCCATGGTTTGAATCTAGCACATAAAATAAACATTAACCATTTGCTCGTGGAGATCGACTCTCAGGTATTACTTAACACCTTAGAAAGTTCTAAACCAATACACTCACACATTTATTCGAATTGTAAGTCAATGCTCCTACTGATGGGAGGATCAACAATGAAGCATGTAATGAGGGAGGCTAACTCAGTGGCAAACATATTAGCGGAATATGGAAGGAAGACTATGGATCCATATATGCATATGAACAAGTTGTTTGTTTTTGAAGCATCTCCTTCCTTTACTTTAAAAGCTCTTGAAGGAGATCGAATGGAACTATATCGTTTAGATCAGTTCCTTTTTGTATGGATGAACCTACTATTAAATAAATAAAATCCCTCCAATTTCAAAGCCAAAAAAAAAAAAAAACTTCATCCATTCCATATTAGCTTTCAACATTATTAAACACTTCATCCCAAAATATTTATCAATTTACAAAATCAAGATGTAACTAATAATTTTTTCAATTTTCAAAATACTTATTATTTATAATTTT